GCTAAGTTGAGCAAGTGTGAGTTTTGGCTCAACGAAGTGACTTTTCTTGGACATATCGTTTCTGCTGATGGTATTCGGGTGGATCCAAGCAAAGTGGAGGCTATTCTGAACTGGAAGCAACCCATGAACATTTCTGAGATCCGTAGTTTCTTGGGATTAGTTGGTTACTACCGTCGTTTCGTTGAGGGGTTCTCCCTTATTGCAGCTCATCTGACGAAACTATTGAGGAAAAATGTTCCATTTGTCTGGTCTGAGAACCAACAAACTAGCTTTGAGAAATTGAAGATTGTTCTAACTCAAGCCCCAGTGCTGATTCAGCCTGAATCTGGAAAAGATTTTTCTGTCTATAGTGATGCTTCTCACTCTGGATTAGGATGTGTTTTGATGCAAGATGTGAAGGTTGTCGCTTATGCTTCGCATCAGTTAAAGCCGCATAAGCGTAACTATCCTATTCACGATCTGGAGTTAGCTGTTGTGGTCTTTGCTTTAAAGATCTGGAGACACTACCTCTACAGAGAAAACTGTTATATGTATACTGATCATAAGAGTCTAAAGTATCTACTTACTCAGAAAGAATTAAATTTGAGACAGCGCCGTTAGTTAGAGCTTCTAAAGGACTATGATTTAGAGATAGAATATCATTCAGGAAAAGGTAATGTAGTGGCAGATGCCTTAAGCCGTAAGACGATATCAGATCTCAGAGCCTTATTCGCCAACTTGAGTTTATTTGATGATAATAGTTTGTTAGCAGAGTTGCAGGTTAAACCTACTTTGGCCGAGGAGATTAAGACCAAACAACTTCTGGATAGCTCATTGCTTCCCATTATTGAGCAAGTTAAGCAAGGAACGGGTTCAGAGTATACTGTGAATCAGGATGGTATTTTGTGTTTTCACGGTCGTTACTGCGTACCTAAAGATGATGAGTTGAGAGGGGTTATTCTTCAGGAGGCTCATAGTAGTCCTTATGTTATGCATCCTGGCGGGGACAAAATGTACAATAATCTCAAGGAGCACTACTTTTGGACTGGTATAAAAAAGAATATTTCAGATTTTGTGGCAAGGTGTTTGACTTGTCAGCAGGTTAAGGCAGAACACCAGCATCCATCTGGATTGTTACAGTCAATAAAGATTCCTGAGTGGGGGGCGCATTACAATGGACTTCGTTACTGGTCTTCCTCTTACTCATTCCAAAAAGGATTCTATCTGGGTGATTGTTGATCGACTCACCAAGTCAGCGCACTTTATCCCTATCCGGATTAATTATTCTCTGGAAAAACTGGCTAAGTTGTACATTTCGGAGATTTTTAAACTTCATGGTGTACAATTGTGTATCATATCTGATCGAGATACAAGGTTCACTTCTAGGTTCTGGAAGGCTTTGTACGAGGCTCTAGGTACTAATTTGAATTTCAGCACAACTTTTCATCCTCAGACTGATGGACAGTCTGAACGAGTAATTCAGGTGTTTGAGGATATATTACAGGGTTGCGTGATTGATTTATGTGGTAGTTGGGAAGATTTCTTGCCATTAGCTGAGTTTGCTTACAATAATAGTTACCAGGCAAGTATTCGCATGGCACCGTACGAGGCTCTGTATGGACGTAGATGTCGTACTCCTATATGTTGGACATAATTGCATGATAGAAAAACTTTGGGTCCAGACTTGGTTCGAGAGACTGAAGCTACTGTCAGATTGATCCGTGATCGCTTAAAAGAGGCATTTGATAGACAGAAATCATAAGCAGATAAGCGACGCAAGGATATCGAGTTTGAAGTTGGAGATCAGGTTTTTCTCAAGGTATCCCCATGGAATAAGGTATTGAGATTTGGACGTAAGGGTAAACTGATTCCGCGATTTATTGGGCCGTATCGTATTTTGAATAAAGTTGGACCTGTTGCTTATCAGCTTGAGTTGCCTTCCCAGCTCAGTCGTATTCATGATGTTTTTCATGTGTCTGTTTTGAGGCGATACCGTCCAGATCCAGATCATATCATTCAAGTTGATGAGGTAGAGTTGAGACCTGATTTGTCATATGATGAGGAGCCTGTTCAGGTTTTAGAGAGGGATGAGCGAGTTCTTCAGAATAGGCGTATTCCAATGGTCAAAGTTCAGTGGAGTAATCGTAGCCCCTCAGAAGCTACTTGGGAGACTTTGGAGTTAATGGAGACTCAATTTCCCTCATCTATTTTCATAAGGTAAATTTCCAGGATGAAATTTCATGTAGAGGGGGAGAATTTTAACAACCCGGAAATTTGAAAAAAAAAATATAATTGTAATTTGAGGTTTTAATTAAGTAAATTGGTGAAATTTAGGGACTAAATTGAAAGATTTTAAAACTTGTAGCTTGTTTTAGAGATGAAGAAAATTAAGGGACCAAGCCCTGAATTTACCCATGGAGTGTCGCCATTCACGCATTATAAGCGTGAAATTCATTCTGAAATCAGAATGAATTTCACCAAATTTCCTCCCTTAAAGCCCCAACTTCTAACCACGATTCCGACGCCGTCCGACCTCTGATCGTCGATTTGAAAACACCACCGTGTTCATCATCGAGCGAGGAACAAATCCCTTAAATTAATTGAAGTGAAACGCTGCCAAACGCTGTGAATTTCAAGTCAAAGTCTTGACGTTTTTTTAGCTCCATCACCGAGAAAATCTTAAATTCATCGCCGATCGTTGCTCCGTTTACGACACCTCCCGCACCATCATGTTCCTTGTGTCGTTCCGAGTCCGTCGGTGTCATCATTGGTCTCCGTTGATGGCGGCGCGTGGGGAGGTGAAGCGGTCAAAGTTTCCGATTTGTTGAAATCGAGCTCTCCGCCGTTCAAAAATTTGAACCGAGCTTTGTAAGTATCTCGAAATCGCTTAAAATAATTTTTAAAATTTTTTCCGTGAATTATATGTCACCGGAGGAGGTCCCACGCGCTGCCACTGTGCGTGGGAAAGGCTGGGCCAGTGTTGAAACCGGTTTGATCGATCCGAACCGGGTTGACCGGTCCGACCTGACCCTACCCGTTGACCCGACCCGTTGACCGTTGACCATAACTTTGACCGACCATTAAACGACCGTTAATCTTTTCCGAGTATACTTATCCTAATATTTTTCGACGTTCTGAACCCGGTTTTGGGGTCCGTTTCACCAAATTTGAACCCGAAAGTCTTCAAATTGTCAGTCAAACCCTTGACTTTGACTTTAACCAAAGAATTTAAATATCCGAAAGGTCATACTTTATGTTTTTAGATGTCCTGAATTTGATTTCGAAGTCCGTTTTGCCAAATTCTAACATGAAATTCCCGAATCGAGCATATGAATCCAAAAAGGCTTAGTATTTTAGTATTTTGATTATTTATTTGAGATTTGGTTAAGGAATTGCTTCAGTAAAAATATTTTATGAAGGTACTCGTGTTTCACCTAAGCAAGGATCAGTTAAGTCCAGTGTTGTATGTTCGTTAAATCATCCCGAACCGCGTACTACGAGAATTACCCGTAGGTTTCCGTATATTATTTAAATAAAGATTAAGATTATTTATATTAGGATTCCAATATGGATTTTTTCGATTCGTAGGATCTAGCGCTGCAGCAGAGCGTGATCGACAGACTCAGTAGGAAGCTTCCTTATATGATTTCTCAGACTGTTACAGGTGTGTTTCCTGAGGGTGTTATCTTACTGTTTTAAACTATCATATGAATTGTTTCAAATTTATGATGATGTTGAATGTTATTATAACACGATACTTGTTTTCTGAATACTGGTTACTCGACACTTGATTTACCAGATTTTACTGATCTGATGTATGGTTTATGTAATTTCTGCATATGATTTTCAAGCATGAATCATTTTCATGTTTTAATGGATTGACATTTATTTTCACCTGAATACATACATGTTTATTAATGTCAATGGGGTATTATTGAGGGAAGTATTTCAGGCTCATTTGCTGTGTGCTTAGGGTAAGTCATTACTGGTGTGCTGGTGGGTGTATGGTTTTGGGGAACCTATACATTTTGGTGATTGGATGGGAAAGTTATTATTGCAGGCTCCTCGGCTTTGTGCTCAGAGTAAGTCCTTACTGGTGTGCAGGTGGGTGTATAGTTATGGGGAACCTACACATTTTGGTGATTGGAGTGATTGGATGGGAAAGTTATTACCGCAGGCTCCTCGGCTTTGTGCTCAGGGTAAGTCCTTACTGGTGTGCAGGTGGGTGTATGGTTCTGGAAAATATATAAAAAAATAATAATAGAAATCGGAGGGAGTGGATGGAAATATTGTTCATAATTTTAAATAAAACAAACTTGTTGATAAACTGATTTTACTGAAATATTTTATTAGTATGTGTTTATATATTGTTGGAATCACATTGGGCTTTTTGGCTCAGTCTGTAGTTTTTACCCTTTTTCAGATAACAACAGACAGTAAGCTAGCAAATTTAGCATCAGGGGAGATCAACTACTTATTTTGTACGAATGTATATCTCTATATGTTTTTCGGTTATGGTTTGGTGGCATGTATTTGCTATCGTTTTGGATATATCTGAATTATTAATATTTTGTTCTATGTTATGTCTAATGTATTATAAGTTGTTTAAAAAAATCTCTGAATGAGATATGTGACCACTTAAGTTTGAGTCTAACTTACAGACCGAGTATGGGGTAAAAATTACCCCATGAAAATGAACGAAATAAAGATAACCCGTCTAAACAAAATACAATACAGTGTTCATATGGAAAGAGTGGTGTTTAATTTACTAAATTGAATAATGTATCTGGGATTTCTATTTCATTGCGGTTGTCATTGGTCAAATGCGTGTTTATGAGTATTATTGCTATTTTCAGGATTATATTACTTGTTATTATAAATCAATAAGCGAAAACAACCCTCCCCAGTTCTCTTATGGCCTCAACTAGTTGGAATAGCGTGACACTGAATTCATTTTATTAATATGTTTTACAAAATAAACGGCATCTTTAAATGCATTGACGAGCATCACAGAAAAGAAGAAGAAAAGATTAATTACAAGAAAATCCTTTTTTCAATTATTTATTTCATGATGATCTTCAAGCACCTATGTCAAACCAGAAAATACAGAAAACAAAACAAACAGCTTGGGCTTACATTTTTTGCCCTTTATTTCATCCCCATTTCATGAATTAAATGCTGTGCAATCAAGTCTTATTTCTCCTTCATTGCCAGTTTTGACTCTCACCCTTCCCAGTTTCCTCATTGCAGTGATGAAAGCTGCATTGAAGTTTCCGGGGTTGGTAGCAAAATCACTTACAGTTGGTTCGGAATCTGGATTGGTTTCGAGCACTTGATCCGAAGTAAACAACCCTTTCCCGGCTATTAGATTCTGATAATAGACATTGTCGAATGTTCGTGGTGTTTCGGGATCCACGTTGATCGCAATGCTAGGGTCGACATCTTGGGGACAAGCTTGCATCAATTGCTGTGCATAGCCTGGATCCAAAGTAGGATCAATCGGAGAGGAATATATACGATTCGAGAAGCGGTCGCAGTGCGAGAAGCCTAACGTATGAGCCCCTGAGAGGGCGATCATGTCGAGTTGGGTAAGGCCATTTCGAACAAACATGGTGTTGAGTTGGACGAGGTTGAAATCAGGCTCTGGTAGATTCCCTGCTACTCTTGATGCTTGTGATAAAAGGCCATCTCGACGTCCTAATTCCACTTCCCATGAAGGCCCTCCAGCCTAATATTATTATTCATACAACAGAAGCAATGTTGTCAATATTCAAACCGCAATAGCATTTGTTACGCTCGCAATTTCGAGGTAAAATGGTTGAGGATATCGTACCAGGACAACAGCATCCCGGGTAGCTAGGGCCAAGATGTCGGCACAAGACACAACACCAGGGCATAGTGTTTCAACTGCCTGTTTGGCCTTGATCACCGTGTCGAATCCATCGCCGGCAAGGGAGAGATTGTCTTGAGCATCCTTTTCGGCATCTCCATTTGGCGATGAAATCAGCACTGACGCATCACAACCCTACAAAATAAATTGATTTTTAACCTAATCTGACATGCAAGAAATCACAATGCAATGGAAAAACTAAGCATTAATGGATGACACGACATGCATGAGAGTAACTTGATAAGGGGGAAAAAACAACTATTTCTTGAAACATGTGATGAAATAAAGAGCAAAAACTGGGTATTATTGATCATACAGACCTCAACGAAGCAGTCATGGAAAAACAAGCAGAGAGTTGCACGGACCGTAACGAATGGTTGACTGAACTTCGTTGACACTTGTTGACTCACTATGGATTCCAGATTCGGACAAGAATTGGCATAGAAATCTTCGGACAGCTGTCCTTCTCCTATCTGCACAATCATTAAAACCATTGAAATGATCAACCATCTCCTTAGTACCTCCATTTTGTTTCTGCCTTTTAGTTTCATAAAAGCAAGTGTGAACTCGTATATATAGATAGAACAAGACTTGTAATAAGAAAATGTTAGCTTAGGCATGCATGGTATTTGATGGCTAATACTTGGTCTAAGCATATTAATTCCTCAAATATAATACCTAAATACATATATAAATATGCTTTAATTTAGTCTTTTTCTTGTTAATTAGAATATTTAACCAATCTTGTTAATTAGAATATTTAACCAATCTTGCAAGTTGTCAGCTCTCTTCACATAAAACTTTTTGAAAATATTTAAAGAGTTTAAAATTAAATATAAATATTTATATTTGTGATCAAAGAAAAATAAATTTTGTTGGCAATTGTTATGCAGTTTCTGTTCACCTATATCATATTGAAAAATAATGTTAACATAATTAGCTTGGTCGAATTTGTGTGGCACCGCTCACCATTTGATTATCTCTCTCTCGCTGAGACATTTTGAAAATAAACTTAGGGTATGTTTGTTTGATTGTAATTGGTTTTTTGAAAATTGAATTCTGAAAAATGAATTACTGGAAAATGAATTACATTTCTAAAAAATGTTTTTCGAAAAATATTTTCGGTAAAATGAATTACATTTTCTGAAAAATATCTGGAAAATGTTTTACGATGTTGTTTAAACATTTTTTCCACTAGTTGATGATTTTTTTAAAAATTGTTTATTACAAATATTAAATATAATAAATAATATTATTTATCATAAAACTTAATATTAATATTTTAAAATATTAAAATAATTTATTTATTATTAAATATTATTTTTATAATTTTATTAATAAAGATATTGATATATTTATTGAAATAAAATTATTATAAATATATTAATTATTTATTAAAGTAATAGTGTTATATTATATTTAAAATATTAATTAGTATATTTTAATATCTTTATTAAAATATTATTAGATATTATATAATATAATATATAAATAATATTATTCAATATTTAATAATTTAGTATATTATTTCTATGAAATTAATAAATAATATAAATTTTTTTAATAATTTATTATATATTATTAAAATAAAAATATAATCAATTATATTATTATAATATAATTGATTATTTTATTATAATATTAAAAATGTAATTATATTATTAGAAATATTAATAAATATATTTTAAATATTTTAATAATTAATATTTTGATTAAAATGATATTAAACTATTTTATTAATATTAAATTTATAAAATAAAATTACTTTGAGTATTAAAGTTCGGAAAATGACTTACGAAAAATCAGACCGTAAGTCATTTTCCACAAAACACAAAGGAAATTCTATTGACCAGGAAAATGTTTTACGTTGACTAACCAGTTTTCCTCCAACCAAACACTGGAAAACATTTTTCGGAAAACGAATTACGTGAAGCAAGCACGGAATTTCGGGGAAAATCAATTCCGTAATTGATTTTCCCCCAAACAAACAAACCCTTAGATTAATTTCTTGCAAATTAATACAAATGCATGAAAGCGACTTAGCAACAAATCAATGTATAAGATTTCACATGTGTGATATAAATATAAATTGTCATTACCTCTTGTTCAATGTTTGTTTGGGTCATATACACCATAAATCAATGACTTGTTCATCATCTTGATATGTTAATTACAAAAATAAATAAAATTTTACTCTCTTTCCAAAATCCAACACATCTTACAACCTTAAGAAGAATTGTAAACTTGCATCACCTTTTCATATATATATGAAAGTATATTTAATATGGTTGAAACATAAAACTATTCTATACTGATTTTTTTCCTGATAATTCTAAATACATGAGAATATAATACATAAAATATTTTTAAAATGTAATGAAAATAACACATTATGTCTAATATATATTATTCTATTCATGCGTAGAATTTCAAGACTAACCTCATCTCGAAAGGATATTTAGCTTTGGGAACAATTAGAAGTATAAATATATAGTTGACTCTAACACTGTTTCTTCTTTTGACAAACTTCATTCTTAAGAAATTGAATCTTAGGACTCATTCTAACCATTTTATCTGTAATTATATATGGCGACTTGGTGAGGAATTCTATCCAAGTGTAGGGCAATATGCTATAAATATTAGTTTTTTAGCAATTTGCACTAAATCCCCCCCCCCTCTTCATTTTGTTACCTTATCTTCTAATCATTGAGTTTAAGCAAACTTAGTTTGTGCTTGCTTGATGCATATTACTTTAACAAACATACATTATATTATGCATTGCCTAGTACAAATGTTGGACCTATCAAATATATTATGATTTCATCTTCTTCTTTGTTCCTTTTAAATCTTAAATCAAGCGATGTTAATAGAAAAGGAGTTGAAACTGTTTCACAAAATTAATAATTATAATAATTTAAAAATATATTTTAAAAAATAATAGTTGTTCTTTCAAGATTAATTGTTGTTCTTAATTTTTGTTTTTATTTAAAAATTAAATAATTTCTCAAGCTTCATAAAACCCAATTAAATTCTCAAAATTTTTAAATAATCAGTTAAGTCGTTTTATCGCATCATCATTCATTGTGAATTGTCATGTTCAGTAATGAGCTGAGAGGGCAGTCACCCCTATAAATTTTCGACTGAGATTTTAGATGGGTTACAGTCCCAAGTTATTCGGATCCATGAGTGGGCTCATTGGAAGCCTCACCTTTTTTCGGCTCAACTGTAAAGTTCCCAAAATCCAGAACATTCAAACTTGAAATCATTCAAAAATTAATAGGAAACAAAGAAAATCAGTATTTCTCACCTGCGAGTAGCCATGGCGATGGTTGTAGACTACAAGAACGACTCGTCGTTTCCGTACTGGACTTCTATTCGCCGTCGTTTTGAGCCCGACTCTCCCTTCTTCACTTCTGGTAACCTGGAGAGAGAACTTCTTGCCAAACAGGTCCTACTCTTTCCTCTTCTACTTTTATCCACTGGCTTTTCTTATTAAAAGATCTAACGAAATAATTTTGCTTTAATAAGTTAGAAATTTAAGTGGGTTTAAGTTATTTCTTTTCAATTTTTTCTTCTGTAAGTGATTATTACAAGGTTCAGTTTTTAAGACAAACACTCAAAAAGGATTTATTTGGTGAAATTCAGGTGGCATTGGATTTAACTGAAGATGAAAGGAACCGACTTGAGAAGATGATAGATAATGCTGCCAGGTTTCAGCTTTTGTTCCACTATTTAGCTATAAAATCACTAGTTTGTTAATGGTCATAAAAGGGCTGTTATTTGAATGTTTACTCATACATTTTAATCATGCATTTACAGGATCTTTAAAAGGGTTTCTATGTTCTGAAATTGTGAATTTTTTCAATTTGTGTTATTGTTTAGACTTCCATGTAATTTTTTGTGTAACGAAACTGCTGTTGTTTTCCGTTGAATGTAGTGAATGTGGAAATGAAGTTTCTGTCATTTGAAAAAGATGGTAAGGCTTCTGAAAGCTTAATGCTGTTTGTGTAATTAATCGTGTCATTTGTACCTAATGTGCGAGCAGGGGTGTATGTTGCCTAATCGTCGGTTGCCGTGCATGCCTGGCTTCTTTGGAGGACTTTGAAGATCATTACAATGCATTGCATACTGCTTCTTGTTCTGTATGCTCTAGAGTTTATACAACGTCTCGCTTGCTAAGTATTCATGTCTCTGAAGCACATGATTCCTTCTTTCAGGCAAAAGTTGCTCGTGGCTATGCTATGGTATCTTTCTCTCATTAACTTTGTATATTGTTGCTCTGAGATTGTTCATTGGGTTTGTCCTCTCCTTTTGTTCTATTGAATACATTTTATTACAATTGTGTAACTGGAACGAGTTTATGGTGGCACTTAGGCTCCAAACATTACTATTCAACTAGCGTCATGCATTTCAATTTATCACATTTAGTTCGCTGCAATCGGGTCTTTCTTCCCCATCGTCCATGCACATCAAATGACGAGAAAAAAACATCGATAAGGCCACAAGGGAGATTTTTTAACTTAGAAATGTCAAGTGTCAAGGGAGTTTTAATTTGACCACCAAAGCATGAGTTCACACACACATACTTTCTCGCTCTCTCTTTCTGCGATGGTAGAAATGGTTATTAGTTTGCTGTTAACTTTGTAATATTCTTCGACTTCAATCGTTCTTGGTATAATTCGGTTTAATACTAAAACCGTTCTTCATGTGTAACAGTATGAATGCCTTGTGGAAGGTTGCGGTTTGAAGTTCAAGAGTGACAAGGGTCGGCAACAACATCTGGTGGACAAGCATAAATTCCCGACTTCATTCGACTTCTTTAAGAAGGCACATCCATCCAAGAAAAAGAGGTTGAAGAACCAACAGAAACGTAGAATGCATAAGAAAGATGAAGAAGCTTCCAGCAAGATGGAAGTAGAAAATGAAACGATTGATGGCCTTGTTTCAGCTGTCTCTAAATTAAGCACTTCAGACTCCTCTCCTTCGAACATTAGCTTTGGTCGTCGTAATGCACGTGGCCTCACATTTGTTCCTCTATCCGTCCAGCCACCGCGAGAAAAGAAGTGACTCCACAACTATAGGGGCAAAGAGACAGATAGCTTATTCTTGCAACCGGTAATGAAAGCACTTACAGTCAAGATTGGAGTTCAAGTAGGACAGAAAGATGTTGAATGCATGGATGATTAATCTAAGTAGTTGAAAAGCATATTCTGGAAATTGAAGTGTTTCTGATTTTTTACTATACAAGTTTCATCGTACCTTTGATTTTGATGCCTCATCATTCAAATAGTTAAAGATTTCAAATAATGGAAATTTATTTATTCTTATTGTAAAAGGAGAAACAATATAAGCAATATTTACGGTAGAAATTTTATAATAATTTTAAAAAAACATTTGACTAATCATGTGAAATAATTATTAATTTTTTTTACTATTTTATATTAATTTATATACTAAATATATTAAATCTTTCTGACATATATATATGTGTGTGTGTGAATTACATATATGATCAGTTTTATTTTAGTTTGTCTTCTTTTGATTATCAGTTTTGAAAGAGTTGCGTTCTGGTTACATTTGTTTTTCATTTATCTTATTTTAGTTACTGAACTGTTAATTCTCGGATGACATGATACGTTTGTAAAAAAAATTAATTAAACCCCTAATCTTTATTCATATGCTCCCATTTTTAATAAAATTCCGGCTAGAAGCATACAAGTACAGTAATGGGCTTCCTCGTGGGTGTCTGGTAACCACATATGTAAGGGTATAATCGGTGATTCAAAAGCAAAAGCAATAAGAAATCTAATATAGAATATTCTTTCAAGACAAAATACTAATTTGAGTCATAAACTTTAGCTATATTATTTATTTTAACTTCTGAACTTTAGATAAAATATCAATTTGATCTCTAAATTCTATTAAAGTCCCTTGTATTCATCATCGACGATCTTTGGACCTCAATTTTTAATTCACTCATTTTTTTTTCATCCTTGAAACGCAAATTAGATATCCATTTTATAACCCGCACTTCACGAAATAAACTTATAACAATGCGATAGTCAAAAACAGTTTTGAATATTGAGATCTCAAGTATTTCATAAGACAACAATTGTCTTTGACTTTGTAATGATACATGTATGATCAAATTTGTCTTTGACAACTCAAAGTCAATCAAATTTTGTCATGGTATTCTCAAATCTCAAGTTGTTTATATGAATTTTTTAAGTGTTTAAATTTAATCTTATAAATATATATTCATTGAGTGATTAAAGATAAGACTCATATACGCGTGTTGCCACTATTGTCTGACTTACTCGTATTCATGTAAATATTTTTCTTCGACACATATAATGCTATTTCCTTTTTAATAAAATTCTTACAATTTTTTACTTATTGTTCTATTTTTTAATTTTAATCTTGAATGATGTTAGTAAAAAAAACTGATCGAAAAACATGTCATGTCGGTAAAAACATCATCCATCCAAATACATCTTTTGAAAAATATTCTTTTCCGTGGTGCGTGTTTATAAAAAATATATTATTTTAATAAATAATATTATTTTAATAAATAATATTATTTAAATACCATTATGGTATTAATGGTAAAAAAAGTTATTTTGGATATTATTCCCCTAAACTAAGCCATTTATTTACCATAGTTATGAAGCCAAGTCGGGGAATGGGGGTGATGTTGTCCATTCAAGTGAACAAGTAGGGGCATTTGAGGCCAAACAGAAAATTACTTAATTTCTATCGACAACAATTTGTAAGATTCATAGATCTAAAAGGAATAGAAAAGAATCAAAACCTTTTCTTCGTGGACCAAAGTAAAACAAGAAGAAAGGGGAAAATGGACGCAGTTGACTCAGTTTTCGATCCGCTGAGAGAGTTTGCTAAGGACAGTGTTCGTCTCGTCAAGAGATGCCACAAGCCCGATAGCAAAGGTTACCATTTACTCCAGTTTTGTTCCGTTATTATTTGATTTCGGTGGTCTATCAGATTTCTGATTGAATGATGTGATTTTCTTTTTGATTCAGAATTTACGAAGGTTGCGTTTCGAACGGCGATCGGGTTCGTTGTTATGGGATTCGTGGGATTTTTCGTCAAGCTCATCTTTATCCCTATTAACAACATTATTGTTGGATCCGGCTAGGTACGGTTCGGTTCGGTTCCTTCGATTTCTACCCATTTTTCATGTTAATTCGGTATTTCTCGTATATTATGGATCTGTTGCTGATTTGATGTTCCTGTGGTTTTCTTAGAAATTGAAGATTAAAGCATCGATGTCCTTGAATTTTTTAAAATCTAGTTGTTGAATACTCTAAGCTAATGAAATCTGTGCGAAACTTAGACTATTGAGCGACAGGAGAAACCAGGAAATTCAATTAATTTGATTAATCAGTTTTCACCTTTTATCGTTGAATCCTTGTTTTACATCTCGCTGTCATTTTGTGTTTACTTTGTTGTATAGAAGGAGATTGAGCTCAACTTGTCAATTTAATCGATTCTTCATTAACAGCTTGCTGCAAAAATGGCCATTAAGCTCTAATCCTTGTTTGTTGATACACTATCACTAATGAGCAATAGTGTGGTCGAAAGTCTAAACTTGTATTTGGGTAGAACAAATGGAAAAGGCAGTGAAAGTAGAAAAGATAAGCAGTTTTCTCGGATCATCTATGTTGATGCTATTAATGGTCTAGGAAACGTATTACGTGGGGTTAAATGTTAAGTATGTTTGATGAAGTTGTTTCCATATCCAATAGCTGTGGCAACCATGTAAAGATAAACAATTGCAGCTTAAAAACGTGATTCAGACATTATTTTCTCTACTTCAAACACAAACACAACCATAACCATCTCATCTTCATCTATTAGTTATGGTGTATTCATATACGTTGTCCCGTGTTCCACAAGCTTTTTTTTATATTTCTTGGGATGATGGCTGACACTGGAACTTTTGTTCGAGTTGCAGGCCTGCATCATGTTGCTGAGAATCGTTAGAAAGTTTCGAGAGAGGTGCATGTACATCATGTGAGTCCATTAAGTAACTTCAGTTTAGACTTGGGTTTGTCTTTAAAATCGGTTTTGTTGAAAATGGTTTAGTCTTTTGTGTTGTTAAATTGTAATGGAAAATTGCTGAAGCTAGACTTAATATTGCATGGTAAGCAATATAAGGATTCTAATTCTAGAACCAAGAATACATCTTGTGCCCTTGATAAGGTTGAGATGAATTCGATGTCACGTAGCATACGGCCATTTCAACAAAACCAAACTATTTGGATTCATTAAGTTCGACTGTAGTTGAAAAATTAGTTTGGTCAAATGAAAGCACCCTAAAAGTTAGGTCACCCTAAAAATTACATAAAGTATTTTGTTTAAGGATATCTTTTGACGATCAAAATGAAAGCACCCTAAAAGTTAGGTCACCGTTAGTGTAGTTTACCCAATATTTTTTATGTAATTTTCCTTAAAAATTTACCTTTTTATGTTTTTTACGGTATTTCCCCCCCCCCCCAAGTTTGAACGCATTTTTCATATGGCAACAAAAATATAAGCCAAACTAAGGGGATGTTCATTTGCCTCTTAATGGAATTATTCAACGCTAAATGCTGAATCGTTCAACATTCAACGTGTTTGTTTTGTATCTTTGAATGATTCAGTGTTGATTGATTTAGCAAAACAATACTGAATGATTCAACATATAAGTACATTCTGAATGATTCAGAATTGTCACATTCAGAGCTAATTCATACAGAACTTCTGAATCATTCAGCATTTGAATTATTCAGCACTTAATCATTCTGAAGTAAACAAACAACCCCTAAGGCAAATTGTGGATTGTAATTAGGATGGTAATGCTGTGGGTTTTTGGTTGACTCGAATCTAATGTAATATTATAACAATAAAATTGAACTCTGACCTGATTCAAAATTTTATTTTTGTTCAATTTGAAATTTTAATTTAAAGTTTGAATTTGACCCAATTTATCATAATCACGATATTATAGTTATTACAGTCGCACAATAAGCAACAACCAATATCAAAGTTATTGCAAACTCCTATGATTGATTTTGAGGGAGCAACTTTCCTCGAGCCTACAAGACTGACAGTCCTAAAATTCCAAGTAGACATTAGGAATATAAGACATCATTGTTTAAGTTAGTCTAGTTTTACTCTCCTTCATTTATCAAAAAAAATATACATACATTTATCTGATTTAGGATATAACTCATTATTACATATATTTTAATTTCAGATTTTTAGTATACTTTATTTAATCATTATCTCTAACTCTTTTCGAGTACTGAAAACTGATACTAATCTCACATAATCAATAATGTATTTTATCGTCCTCACATCAAGGATAATACATAATTTTATTTTTAATTTGATAATAAAAGAAAGAGTATTGATACTCAACCCTTTAAAATTGGTAGAAATAACTCTTTAAATCCCTTTTTTATGTATTTTAATGTATATAGACTTCATGATTATTATATATTAGTTTTTAATCCTCAAAAATGATGTCTGCTGATTATATTCTTGATTTAATACATAATCTTATTTTAATTTAATTAAATATAAATTTCTATCAATCAATATAATATTTTCAACCTGATTTATAATTAAACCATATTAGGAATGTTATACATCTTCTGTCCACGTAAATTATGCTCATTTATTCATCCACGTAAATTATGCTCCAGAAATATTCACAATAATCAGTTCACATTCTCTGGAAACTCTAGCATTCCTCGCATTAATTGGCCTGGACTGGGAGTTTCCCCAACGGAAATAATAAAATATATAAATTATTATAAAATTAAATTAAAACATTTTTTATCATTAAAATTTTAAAATAATTATTAAATTTAATAAATTATTATAAAATGAGAATACACATTATAAAATATTCAATATACATTTGATTTTTTAGAAGAATAATTATAAATCATATCGCTATCCAATGGGGAAATTGGATAGGGATAATTCAAGATAAACGTAGCAAATAACCCTCGGAAGATACTGTATATTTGAGCGAATTTCAAGTGAAAAAAGATTATCTTATTCTTTTTCAAATCAAGAGTTGTTTTTAAAATTTAAACAGCTAAGTATACTGTTATCTCGAAGAACACTCCTCACACCCCGGGAAATTCCAAGCCCAAGTACACGTCTCTGGAGTTGCAATAGTGTTTCCTGGGAAATTCTAAGCTTTGGTTTAATCAAATGGCTTCCAACAGTAATCCTAATAGCCAAGCCTTCACCTCCAGAACACCTCATTTCTTCAAAGTGCTTCTCACCGATGCTATTCAGCATGGGAAAATGGTGAGTAAACTTTTCATTGTCTATATTATAAAACCATTGTTCATACTTTCTTTTTTATCTTAATCTTTAAGGTTCTTGTATAGGTGAATATGCAAGGGACTATGATCATAAAGCTTTTAATCTATTGGATTTTGTTTTCTTCCCTTTTTCATGCAGAAAATTCCAGCAAAATTTGTGAGAAAATATGGAAGTGGGATCTCGAGCCCAGTATTTCTTAAGGTCCCGAGTGGAACTCTCTGGGAAGTAGAATTAACTAAGTCTGGTTCTGAGGTTTATCTGCAAAAGGGGTGGAGCGACTTTGTACAACATTACTCGTTAGATTTAGAAGACTTTGTGGTTTTCAGATACGGAGGGCATTCCCTTTTCAATGTTATCATATTTGATAAAGGTGCTTCAGAGATTGAATACATTCATGCCGAAAATCACACTTTGAGTGAACAATGTCAAGGGACTGCAGTGAAACAAGAAAAAGATGATGATGATATCTCTGTTGAAATCATTGATGGAACTCCAACTCTCCCAAGGGAGAAAAGAAGGGGACCATTGCCATCACCGTGTCCGAGGCTGAGTAAGAATCCGAGAATCAATTCGAGAACTAATAGAACTAAGAGTAATGGGAATTTCGGTAACCATACTTTCAATGTTTCCAATAGAAATGGATATTCAAATTGTCTTACTCTAGGATTTAGTGGTATAGACCACCTTTTTGTTCAAAAGAAAAAACTTGTGTTTCATTTTTGTTTGTTTCTTAATCGGTTGATTTCAGGCAGATTATCTGCTTCATCTCGGAAAAGCAATGGAGGGATGAGTGCTAGTCCAGAACATGGAGGTGGAAGTATGCGGGGGACAATGAGAGGCAAACAGAAGGATAAAGCTTGTCAAATTGCCAGTTCTTTCAAGTCCCAAAATCCTTTTTTTACTAGAGTCATGCAACCATCATTTCTTACTGATAAATACAGAATGGTAAATCTTTTCAATTCAATATGATATATATACACACACTCGAATTCGCATTTGAAATATGTATACGTTTAATTGCAGGGTTTACCAATTATCTTTGCTAGGAAATATTTGACGGAGAAGAAATGCAAAATCCAGTGTGTTGTTGACGGGAAAACATGGACCATGGAATATAATAACACAAGCAAACGGTTTGTACCAAGACTCTGCAATGGATGGAAGGGCTTCTCAATCGATAACAAGTTGGATGTCGGGGATGTTTGTGTTTTCGAGCTCATTAGTATAGTCGAGACCACGTTTAACGTATTCATCTTTCGCCGTGAAGTTGCAGAATCAGTAGGTGAGTACATTGTTTTTACATGTTAACTCAGCATTTCTCCTCTAACATACATAGATGTTCGACCATGCAGATTTTCCGAATTCCTTGGTTGATGAGAATGGAGCTAATCCAGTGAAATTCAAGAAAAGCTTGGGAACTGATTATGGTAGCAAAAGTAAAGGCGCAATATCCTTCATTGATGATGACAAAGCAGCAGTTGAAGAATATCAACTCCCTGGAGGTAAAATGAAAGACCAAGTTCCCTCCTACCCTAGAGATTTTTGTACCTCTTTTTATGCATTAACTTTGTGCACACAATTTTAACCAATTGAGACATCACAATTCTGGTGGTTCACACTTCACAGTATACTCGAGGGGCTTCTTCTCTTGATGTTGTCTTTAAAGCTTCCAGTAATTATCTCCCAAAAGATCCAGATTTTAAACTTGTTATGAGATCATGTTACTTGTCCCATGGCGGATCGGTATGCTTTATCAACCATTTATGCATATAGTATTTTTTGGAAATCCAAAAGAGTCGAATGCGAAATGACCTGATGGCCTTTAAAGACTGAATTAGATGTTGGATACTAATTCAAGCTATTTTTGTTGTTCTGTATGCAGAGATTTCCGGCAGCATTTGCCAAGGGATAATGATATTGTGAAGGGGAAACTTAGCTGAGATTGCAGAAATGGGTTGTGAAGCTAAAAAACTATAGTGGTTTTAGGTGCTGTTTAACAAGTGGTTGGACTCCATTTGCTAGGGAAAATTATCTCCTAAAGGATGACATTTTATTCTTTCACCTCATCAATGCCTACTGATTTGGTGTTCAGAGTTTCTATAATCAAACATAGAGCTTAACATATACATGCATGGCATTTACGTATCTCTAAATCAAACATAGAGCTTAACATATACATGCATGGCATTTACGTATGTAAAAATGTATGAATATTTATTATTAAATAACTATTTTTTTTAAATAAAATGTATGTATTAAATAAAAAAAACAGTAAACTGTTAGAAGAAACAAACGAACAATCAAACCCTATACCCCAACTATACGATCCTTACATACTCTTCTAATTAATAAAAGAATATTTTATTATTTTTGCTAAACGAGAGAGCAAGAAAATGACTGCGGACTAGTATTTGAGTTTCCCCATACCTACGCAGCCTACGTGTTCAAAAAGGATTGGTGATTATTGGTAATCACCGTCATTAATTAATCAATAGATGGTACGGTGGAGAAACAAGTTTTTACCGAGAGTCGCTGAAATTCATCACGTGTACAATTTTTTTTTCTAAAACGCAGTAGGAACATTTGACCAACCGAACGTTGGTGCTAATCACAGGCGCTGCTCAAGTGCGTGTGTCGTGAACCATGTGATTGGATTTGGGTTTTCACATAAATTTCATGAAAAAGGGAAAAATAATTCAACACTTTTTAAATCACATGTTTTGTCTGCTATAGCCACCAATTCCACCCCCCCCCATAGAATAATAATATCATTCATTATCTTAAATAATTTCTTAAGGCAAATATATATACTAAATAGTATTTTCTTAAATGAATAACTATCAACAATATTATTTTAAATTTAATGTTAACATTCTTAAAACAAATATTTAGGACAATCATTAACAAACTTTGTTATGGATTTAATTTAGCAATACAAGTGATTCAAAAACTCAAAAAATACAGTCTCTTAATTTAAAATGCTAAATAAATAAATATATTAAACGATCTCAGTGTTAAAAAATAATATTATTGTTCTTAGAGATTTCAGATTCAAGCAATCATATCTATGAGGTATGTATATATAATATATCTTATCTATAGAATGAGAAAATTTTGAACCGATATTATATAGCAATGACTTCATATTATTAAAAAATGCTAAATAAATGGAAACTTTAATAATATTTAGGTTAATTACTTATTTGGTCACCATATATTACTATTTTCTTCAAAATTATACATACCATTACATTTTGATTCTATTTTAATTATCCATCAATAAAAGATTAATAATAATGATAACATATTAACTTAAGATAATATTACATCAATATTAAAAAATATATAAAATATCATGTCAAAAACTAGTAACAGATGAATTGCTAAATAGACAATTTAGCTAAAATGTATTTAACAAGTTTTTAAAAAAAATGAGAGGTGTTGTACACGTGGTCAGTGGGGCGCGTAAACGAAATAGAACTAAACCCTGAACCACACTTATGACACCACTAAATCCGAACCGCACTTAATTTCAAGACACTGACACTACCGACCAGTGTCCACCTGTTCTTTTTTAAGAAAACCAAACTGGGTAAAAGCCTGAAGATAGAAGAACTATCGAGGGCATTATCGTCACAAGAATCTAAAATGCTATAAAAAAATCGACTTCACAATATACAGCACAGCAGCAAGCCATAAATAAAAGGATAAAGTTACTGTTTCTTTCTCCATAGGATCCCCAAATCTTCCTTTAAAATTGGCTTCTAAATCTTTTGAATCATCCTTTGTTAAGGCTAAAGAAGCTTTACTCATCTTATCCGGTAAAGCATGCAACTCTTTGTTTGGTTCTTTGTTAAATCTCAACATTATTTGTACATCCTTTATATTTGTATGATTTTGAGTTTTTTTAGTTGATTGTATGTGTGGGTTTTCTTTTTTGAGCTTAATTTTGTTGCTTTGGGTTCGGATTTGGAGAAATGTTGGTTTCTTTTTGAGTCAAGTGCAGTTGAATCCCAAGTTTTGGGATTTCTGAGCTTTGTTTGTGTTTTGAGAAAAGAAATGTGAACTTTCGAGCGTTTGCTTGTTTGGTGAATTGAGATTGTCTCTTTAGATCAAATGATGGTTCAATTCTCAAGGTTTATATGTGTCATTGGATAGAAATGATTGGATATTGACTGTTTAAGATTTTTTCTTAAATGTTTTTACTAGTCTTAGCTAGGAAAATTCTGTAGGGAAGAAAGAATCAAATGATGAATCATTGCCTTCATTTTTTTCTCTTGTTTGCTTAGTTTTTGATCTATTTCTATGTTCTCTTTCGTAATTAACAATTCTTTACAAATTACGTTGTCTTCTCTGATTAGGATTTGCAAGATGGAGAGCGTGAATAACTTTTGGCAGTTGGGAGATGATCTTCGAGGACAATCGAAAGTCGCAGAGGATCACAAGTGGTTGATGGCTGCATCAAAACTGGCTGAACAGACGAGGATAAAGGGTGAACGTATGAACAATCTAGATATTTCGAAGGGTCCAGCTGAAATGAGGATGAGGGATAAATTTAGGTTCCAGGAAGACAAAAAATTTGAGAACCTTAACTTTAATATGTTGAACTTGAACTCCAAGATTGGAGATCATGTAAGCAAAAGTTCCTTCCAAAATGGTGGTTACAATATGAATGCTGTTTACCAAAAAAACAACAGCAATATCCTTGGGAACCTGACGGGCAACAAATATATTTGCAACAATCATAGCAGCAAAGACGTCAACTATAACAGCAACACCAACAATAACAATAACAACAGCAATGAGACAAGCAATGCAAGCAATGTTGTTGACAAAAGATTCAAGACTTTGCCCACCACGGAGACACTTCCAAGAAATGAAGTGCTTGGAGGATACATCTTTGTTTGTAACAATGACACAATGCAGGAAGATTTAAAGCGCCAACTGTTTGGTAAGACTCATATTCTCTCATATATGTAATTGTCAGTTCATTAATTCCTATTATTAACATTTTTAGTAGTAGTTCTTAGTCCTTACATCTTTCTATTATCTCATTTAATAGGCTTACCACCAAGATACAGGGACTCTGTTCGGGCAATCACACCTGGCTTGCCTCTCTTTCTCTATAACTACACTACTCATCAATTGCATGGTATTTTTGAGGTTTGTCCTCCTACCTCAATTCTCATCTAACATTCCTTTCATTCACTTTGTGATGCTTGATGTTGTTGGTTGATTAGGCAATGATAGTATTTGCTCTTCACCTGTTGTAGTTCCTTTCTTTCTCCGAATGTTTGCATTTGCCTTGCATTTGCCAGATTTATGTGATAGACAATAAGATTTATCAATGGTACTTTTTAATGGTGAGATTGATCTCTCCTCCACCCACCTTCACCTGAGTCCCAAAAGGAAGAGATGGGCCTTGGATGCATGAAGTTTGTAATACTGGAGTTATCTGACAATCAGGATTAATTTATGTTCATAGAAGAAATAGATGTGATAAACTGATAATCATTTTAATCTCCCCTCCTCTTATTTCTTATATGAACAGGCAGCATGTTTTGGGGGTTCTAACATTGATCCAACTGCTTGGGAAGAAAAAATGTAAAGGCGAGTCAAGGTTTCCTGCTCAGGTAAAGTTTGGGTTTATCATTCGTATAACTGTATTGTTTATTTCAATGGAAGATTGAACTAACCCTAAGCCTTTTAATTTTCTACCCTAATTCATAGGTGAGAATCCGTATTAGGAAAGTCTGCAAAGCATTGGAAGAGGATGCTTTTAGGCCAGTCTTGCACCACTATGATGGTCCTAAGTTTCGTCTTGAGCTCTCAGTTCCTGAGGTATGAAAAACAATTATTAGTTTGCCCCCAACAATTTCTTCTCTTTATAATCAAATTTTAGCCAGAGCTAACGAATTCGGTTCCAAACTTTGCAGACTTTGGATCTATTAGACCTTTGTGAACAAGCAGGCTCTCCATAAGCAAAATGTTAGCCGAGTGCAACAAATGTAATAGGGTTTGAGGTGCAAGTCAGCCGTGTGCTTTTCAAAGATTTTCCATAGAACGCAAGTTGTGGGTGCAAGTCCAGTTGGTGAAATCATCTTGAAAAAAAAAGTAGGAAATGTAGTTGGCCAGTTGAATAAATGCATTAGTGTTTTGTAAAACCTTTTTACATGGTAATCAATGAATTAAAAACCCTATAGATAGACTTGCAAGATGTGAAAGAGAATTATATGACTATATGTAATGTTAGAAGACAAGAAATGAAGGTTTTGGTGCCTTTTTGTGCTTATACCTATATCCTATCTTCTTTCTGTTGATAAGAAATCTGGAAATTCTCAAATTCGCATGAACCATATTTGTGACATACCGCCCAAAGTGCACTCATAATCAACCTAGTAGAGGTGGATTCTAGCTGAATACGTGAATCTTTAAAATAATATGTAGCAAAATTTTCCCAACTTGGGGTAAGATGAATGGGCAGTTTCAACATGCAATCGAAAGATATATTTCTTCGATCTCCTATTGCTAACAGAAAGTGTATGGATAAAGAGTCAAATTTTAACATTCCTTGAGCTTTCTAGCTTTCTAATGTCGATATTTAAGTTCAGGATCAAGCAAATGATGGTATCATGATAAGCTTAGTTAAGTTATAATTAGACTAGGAAATGCTCGTTTCAACAGCCACTATGTTCACTAGGAAACTCAAAACCAAAAGAAACAAGGGAACATAATTTCACTATGAATTCAATGAAACATGCACAAGGCAAACCGAAGGATAGTTTATCAAAGAAAAGTAAAAGTAAGGCAACAGAAAAAGTATAAGCTGTTATCATTCAGAAGGCCAGCCTCCTTAAGAAACAATAATAAACTTACACCAGAGGACTAATGCAGAGTTTTGTATCCCAAAGTTCCAAAGACGACAGCAATAGGGAATAGATATCTTAGTGGACAAATGTAAACATCAATAAAGCCTATATAGTATTCAGCTATTTTAAATAATCAACATCACCTTAAACAAGACTTGCAGGTACAGCCATACCCTAACAAGTTTTCCATTGAAACCCATCAAGCAAGTATGGACAGCTCTATTGCTTTCCCATGCACGCTGATGATCAAAGTGCAGCAGACATGAGAAAGGTACGAATTCTTTGCAAGAGCTCGGCCTTCACGGAGTCGGGAACGGAAGCTGCATAAGCAATGATTTAACCAAATCATATACTCCTATAAAACAACGTATAATGGCAGGGGAAAAATAGATTCTTACCTCTGCCTTTTGGGGTGATCAAATGCACAAGGTCATCTACAGTGACATTGTTTCTTCCTTTCTTCTTAATATACGCCCTGTCATTCATCATAGAGAAAGAGGTTTCATGAAGAATAATCAAGATTTCACACAAAGAACAAGATAGCTTATTGGATAAATAACTAAATTTTACTGGAAATAAGCCCTCGGTGGAACATTATCTATTTTATGAAATGGCACTTCATTTATCTATTGTATGTCCTTGAGAAGAAAAGGTCAACAACAAGTGTTATACAACTTCTCACAACTAACAAGAAGATTTCCATACATAGATGTGTTGGCATTCTCCGAAGCATATAACACCACATCAGATTTCCAGATACAATTAGATGCATCAGTAATAAGCCTAAGCATCTTTCATACACGATCATAATTCTAATTCCTCTAATTTATAGTTCTATCTATGATGAATCTTCAACATTCTGTCCACTTTTAGATACTAACAATTCGAAGTAGCTAACCCTTTCAGACACTGCAAAGAAACAGTAAAAAGTAAAAACCTGCAAAGAGCTTTCATCTCATCCTTCCAACCACAGTCTATAAGCCTTTCTCTTAACAGCTCCATTAATCTCTCTTTTTCCCCACTCTCGATCAACTGCAAAATCCAATCATATCACAGTAAATAAACTTTAAAAAAATACCCAAAATCTTTTCAATAATTAAAAAGAAAAAAACGACCTTGATGTTAATAATTTCTTGAAGGGTGGGTTCTTTCCCTTGATCGTCTGCAGCATCTGGAGTTGGTGGTCGATTTACTGAATGTTTCCTGTTATGAAAAAGCAATTTAATTTAAAGATTCGATATTTTTTACCTATTTACTAGAATTTAAATAGAATCAAGAGCTTTACATGATTTTCAAGCTCTCAGAAAAATCAAGGAAAGAAGAAATTGAATAAAATGTTATCCTGGAAACAGCTTGAAGAATGAACGAGAATGTTAGAAAAAAGATTTGTGTTTTTTAATTTCTTTTCCCCTTTGGCGACCGCCATATGAAACGACAACGTTTACGAGGTTTTACTCGATGGAAGTGTTTTACCATTTTGTCCCTCGGATTAGTTTGAAAATGCGGAAAAACCTAATACGTCAACGGCCGGAATATAAAGAAGTGGCGCCAAATAGTAACCATAAAATAACAAAAAATATCTTTGAAAAATTCGCTAATAAAACGAAAAGAAAATCCAAAGAATTTCAATCTCTTTCATACACGCTAACCATTGTTTCATTCTCTTGGCGTGTTTTTTCTTGTAATCGATGGCTTCTTTGCTTCTCTCTTCTCTCTGTTTCACTTCTCAAAAAAGCCTTGTTCTTTTACGTCCTCGCTCCGTTTCGGTTTCGGAGCTCCGACGGAATCCAGATTCGCGCTCCGTTATCTATCGGATTCCGACCGGTGAATAAGAGAAACGGAAGAATTAGGGTTTCAGTTTACTCCAGAGCTTCTCCGCTTGTGTTCCGGGACCTCGACGCCGATGATTTCCGGCATCCACTCGATAAACAGGTGGAGTTTCTATTAAAAATTTTAACGAATTTAATTCAGAATTTCTTTTAATAAATTTTATTTGATTTTCTTGTTTTGGTTGCACCGTTGCAGAACACGCTGCTATTGAAAGCGATTCCAGGGCTTAACGAAATGGGAAGAGCTTTACTAGGTAATTGCTTTTACTAATTAAATTTGATCATTTTTGCATATTTTCAAAAATCCAAAACTAGATAGAAAAAAAAAACTAAATTTGATTAAAAGGAGGAAATTCCAAGATGTTAAAAGGAAAAGCATGTAACTTTAACATTTATTTACTTCTTTGAAACTATGGCTTTCCAAATTGGAAGCAATAAACAAGATAAAGAAGCTTTTAAAAGGGGGGAAAAATCAAAGACCAAAATAAATGGTTATAATTCTGGTAAACGCTCAATGTTAAACTAGTTATTTTTTTAATGCTTTGTAGCAGGAACCATGACAGAGCAAATCATGCTTCTTGAGAATATAGGGACTTCAGTCCTTGTTTCAAAAGACCAGGTTACTTGATGTTTAGAAAATTGTTGTTTAAACTTGTTTTACTGGTTGTATCCGCCGCAACTTGTTTCAAATTTCTGTCTTCTTCTTTTCTTGTAACAGCTTCCCGAACTTCATAAAATGATGATTGAAGCTGCGGGTATATTGAATATTGAACCTCGATCTCTATGTTCGGCAAAGTCCAGTTCCAAATGCTTATACATTGGCTATAAGTGGTAAAAAAAACATTTGTTGTCATTCATACTAGTCTTGTGGAGCTTCTGACACGAAATGAATTGCAGGTATTCACTTCTTTCCCGCTCTCTTTCTTCCACGAAATGACTTAAACTCATTGTCCATTCCTTTTGAATTTCCCTTTTAATGCCTTGACTGCTACTTGAATCCTTCACAATAAAAGTTTTTTTTAGTATGACTTGGTTTATTTCATTTCTTTGTGCTCTTTTAGTATTACAAAATGTTTTCACATTGCATGTATGTGATTACAAATGTATAAATCAGATTAGATGTGCTTTATTTTGCATAGTAGGGCTGTGTCTTAAAAGATAAAGTGCCATAATTTAGTGTTTTGCAACTTTGAAAAAGGCTGTTTTGGCCCATGAATTGGGTCATCTCAAATGTGATCATGGTGTATGGCTTACCTTTGCAAATCTTCTCACACTTGGAGCGTATACTATTCCTGGTATGAATTTGGTTCTTTCCATTGGTGTGGAAACTTAGATACTCTGATACTTTTTCTTTATATAACTAGAGCACATTAGAAGTGTGAGAAAACATCTCAGACAAGACTAAAGGAGCTTATGAACTTTCAGGATAAATGATTCTTACAACATCTCAGACAAGACTAAAGGAGCTTATGAACTTTCAAGATAAATGATTCTTAGCTTAAGTCCGGTGCACTTGATCTTTTGAGGAGACTTATATATTGTTGATGAAGCATATGTGCCACCAGTATACGTAAGCATGGGCTGGTATGTACCTTGCAGTGTTTGCTGAGGGTGCACGATGATGATGATTTACAGGGACTACAATTTTTTAGGGGACTAATATATAAAATTTAGATGGCCCATTACCATGTTATCCTCCAAAGAAAAAAAACTATTTTATCCCTAAATGAACTTAGTTTTGGTTGAATATGCATATCAGGTGAAAGTATATGTACAGTTAATTTACAACATAGCGTTGAATACCTTTGTTTTTCACAGGACTTGGTGGCTTTATAGCTCAGACTTTAGAGGAACAGTTATTCCGTTGGCTTAGGGCAGCAGAGCTTACTTGTGATCGGGCAGCACTTCTCGTCGCACAATATCCCAAGGTATGCAACATCTTTCCCTGAGCCAACATAATATGCAATTAAATTGTTGAGATTCCATGATCTTTCTTTGTAATGCGCCTACAAGAGGTTGTCATCTCTGTTTTGATGAAGTTAGCTGGTGGTTGCCCATCTATGGCTGACCAGTTAAATGTGGATGCATTTTTGGAGCAAGCTCACTCTTATGATAAGGCTTCTTCGAGCCCGATTGGTTATTATATAAGGTAACCAATGGTTTCAGTGAAGCAATTTAAAACTCCCCCTTGCAATTTCCTTTTGGTTGTCTATTTATCTCATGATGTTCAGAAATGCTCAAACGCGACAACTTTTACATCCGCTGCCTGTTCTACGTGCTCGTGAGATTGATGAGTGGTCAAGAAGTATTGACTACAGAAGCCTTCTCAAACGTGCAACTCAGATGAGCGTTGTAGAAAACGTTTAGCTTTTGTATGGACCTGGAGAAAGTCAAAAGTTTAAAGCCAGCTTTAATAGGTATGAGTTGCATAGTTGTTTTCAGATTTTCAGAATAGTTTACATGCATATATTTTTCTTTCCTATGTTTAACATCAGTCTAATTTTATCATATGACCTTATGTTTTTTCTTTATATTAATCAGACTTTTCTTTGGGATGTTTTGTATTTTCAGATGTTGCCTTTCCTTGCAAGGTTTGTTCCCCTTTATGTTTATATAAGATATTTTGCCAGACAGCAAGAACACGGAAAATGGAGGAAGCTTTTGCATAGAGCATCTGAAGCAGTGGTAGATAATTTGTCCATAAAGAACCACAATAATTTAAAGAAGGTAAATTTATGGTAAGAGAATCATATCTGGTTCATCTTTGTAACTATGACACAGATTGTTATAACATGTGCTTCATACTCGAAGGAAGAAGAATACTGTATATCATCATATTTGAAAGGATAAAGAAAATATAGCATTTTTGTTTTCAAAATCCGGTAGTGATTCTAGTGAATACAATGTTGCTTACTTGATTATTATCTTCTTCTTCTTTTTAAATTAATTCAAATAATTTAAATATTTGTTTTATAATCTTACCTTTAATGTACAATTTTGATCAAATCAACAATCGAAACATCATTCGTGATCAATATATATTTATTTTAAATATATAATTTAATATTTATATTAATGTATACTTTAATATTTATATTAATTTAAATATATTAATTTAATATTTTTTGATATCTTCAGTATGTTTTCTAAACCACTTACCAGTATATATGAAAGAGTTACTATTTCAATCACCCTCAACTCTTTTGCTTTATACCTAGGAAAAATATTTGCATCAAGGGTAGATTCGGTAAAAGAAATATTGTTCTTACTCGGCTATGATAATACAATAAAATTTGGAAAAAAATTGTTTTTTTAAATACGTGTTTAAAAATTATTTTGAAATCTATATTATTTGTTATAATGCACATAAAAATATTAAAAAATAAACCTCTGTCATACGGATCAAGAGAAAATTGTATGAAACTCGTCATATACTCGTGACGAGTTTCAATAATTTATTATATTTTATGAAATTTATCATTCCCTTACGATGAGTTCTGTACATACAGTAGCAAATGGTCTAAATCCTAAAATAATTCTCAAACCCTTGAAATTTTCAAAATTTTATCGTCTGGATTATTTGGCCGGCCAACGAAGTCTAATACAATAATCAACCGAATATAACAAAATTGGGCATTTCCAGTGTTCAATCTACATTCATAAACATTGATGTAAAACCAACAAAGCAACCATGAATCTACTCTATATAAATTACTATTTTGAACAAAATAAAAACATCTTGCTAATTTCTACTTTTTTAGAAAAAATATAAAGTTCGATGATATTTATGCCTAAACAAGCTGCTTCCTTTTCTACATCCCTCTCAATTGACATCCAACAACATTACAATTTATTTCCATTAGAAGGAATGGTCTACTATTGATGCATTATTCAAACCAATGAAAGAACATACACTGGGTGCCAACCAAAACTACGGAGCCATGATTCAAGTGCTTCCTGGCGCGTCACTTCCAGCGGCTGTCTTGCGATTCAAATAACGGATAACAGCATCTTCGACCCTGTAATGAGTCACCAAAAGAGAAATTTGATTAATCTTCATCCTTCACAAATACTATTCACCATTATTGCTCTCAAAAGGTTTCTTATAAGAAATTAATTTAGAGAAAGCATGTGAATATAATCCAATCCAAGTATGTGTAATATATACGAAAGAATGGAGATCACTTCTCAGACTCCGGCAACCAAGTTTATCTCAAATACTGAAAAGTAAAAACTGTTGGCCAGAACTTCTATGAGGAAATCTTAAACAAGATGCTAGCATGGATTATACATATAAAGATGAGAAATTTTCAGGAATGGTATAACTACTATGCCACAATTAGAGGGTAGATGCAATAGGGGAAGGGTCATTCGGAGACCAAGGCTGCTAACAGATCAATCACAATGCAAAATATCATCATTTATCAGTGGAAATTACTGAATATTTAAAGTGATAGGCTAGGTTTTAAACTTGAGGTAAATGATCCAAAATTCAACAAGAACAACTGCAACAAAACAGAAAAATGAGCTTACCATGGTTGGTTGAAGAAATCTGATCGTCGTTCTTTTTCAGCACTTCGACTACCTTCCCCAGCTGCCATTTTCACATCTAGGCTCTGAGACTCAATTAAAGCATTGTAAACTCCACTGGTGATTGACTGAAACCTAGAAAGAATGCTCGCCTTCTACGATGCTCATGAATTTTCTTTATGGTCGCACATATCACTTCATCACAAGCCTCAATCTCTTTGCTCTTCTCTGCATTTGACAAAAGAGCTGAAAGTTCCCTCTGTATAGGAAAGGGAACATCAACTACGACATCATAGCATGCGGTCCCAACAGGACTATTCCCAGAAAGCTTGATCTTGTGCTCCAAATGTATGTGTGGTGGAGGAGACAAATGCTGTGATATCTTCTGTGGAACCATGGTAAATTTAACTTTTTCTTCCCCAAAAACTTTAAAAAGTTGTGCGTCACTATTAAAGAAAGACGGATCATTTGCGTTTTGAAGTTTTCTAGCCTTCACATAATGCCAAATTGCAGCAATAATTCTGGGGCGCGTGTCAACCTCAATACCAAGGACTTCCATCAAAGCTGAAGAAAGCTTGAACTTCTCGGGCACATAATTCATTTCCAACCGAATATTCACCGTCAACTCCTTATCTCCTTTTCTCTTCACCTCAAAACCTTCATTACATGTAGGCGATCGAGCATGCTCCCATATAATGATATGATTATCAGGATATAGTCTCTGGTCCAAGGAAATTGTCACTCTCTTGAAGAAAGATGAAAAATTTGGGTACAAAGGGTTTGTTTTATTAACAAACCCAGGATGATCTGGATTTACTCCATCTTCCAGGATTCTCCCGATAATCTTAAGGGTCCAAGTGGGAGGCTCGGCATTGGCCTTCTGCGGAATAGTCTTGATCTGATTAGCAAATGTGTTGAAAACATATATGCGAAGAGTTTTCTGAACACAAGGTGGGTTCTTAAGCGCTTCCTGAATGTCAACTTTTTTCCTAGTTAATGCTGCATCGACACGTGCCTCAAACTCAAGAAGCTGGGTATACAAAGCAGATTCAGGTAGAATCGCTGCCACTCTATCTTGTAGTTGTTTGTCAGGAAGCTTCTGCTTCTTTCTACGTGCAGCGGATGCAAGTTCCATTGTTCTCAAAGGTGACATTGTGTTCATCATGGGAACACCAGGAGGGAGCATGGGGGATTTTTGAAGGATCCTATTTGCACTTGCACTGCCAGGAGTAGACATGGATGGCGAAGACAAACCTAAATTCCCAATGCCAGCATTCTGAGCCTGGTTAAGGGACAAGCCTTGAGCTTGTAAGTGTGCTTGGAGTTGAGCATGGGCTTGAGCTTTCGACTGAGCCTGAGCAAGGGCCTGGGCGTGGGATAGCTGATACTGAGCTTGAAAACCAGTACTATGTTGCGCTTGTGAGAATCCAGACATAGGAGGCACCATCCCCGTGTTACCAAAGGGTGACGAAGACGCCCCAAGGACTTTTGCGGGATTATTCCCATTCATGGACATCACTAATCTAATTCGCCGGGAAATATCAAATATTCACCAAGATCTAAAACATCCGCAACAAAGTAAATTCCGGGATATCTCAACCCACTAACCAAGAATACCCAAAGAAGCAATAATTCCCTTCAAAATTAAACATTTTGAAGTTCAACCCTAAAGGGTATACAAAGCCCCCCGATAAAGACCTAATTTTGCAAAATCCCCCAAGGGCGCTGAATTTGAACTAAATCTTACCCCAAAAAACTTCTAAGTATGCAGCAAAGGGAAAATTAAGGGGATGCAAAGATGAAAAATGCAAGAATATGGAATTACATTATGAGATTAAGGATAATAGTTGAAACTGGAAAGAGATTAGAAACGTACAACTGAAAGGGAAAAAAATCTTAAGAAAGAGTGAAGAGATTTTAAGCGTTTTTGCCTTTCCTAGACCAGCAGGCAGCAGCTACACAGAGAGTTCATCTCCTCTCTCCCGATTCCGTCTTTTTCAGTCATTTTCTTCCCATTTACCAAACATCAATACCCGTTACCGGATCCGAACCCCATTTAGAAAAGACTGGGCGTGGTCGTGGGCGTGGTCGTGGTCGTGGTCGTGGTCGTGGTCGTGGTCGTGGTAATACGTGTCTTCGACACGTCCGCGCGGATACTATCTTTTTAGAGAAAATTCTTAAGAAACAAAATTTTTTTAACTATTTTTTTGACCGTTGCGATTTTCTTTTTAACGTTACGATTTTCTAAATCGCGTTGCGATTCTCTCAATCGCATTGCGATTCTATAAATCGCATTGCGATTCTCTCAGTCGCATTGCGATTTTCTTCTAAATCGCGTTGCGACTCTCTCAATCGCATTGCGATTCTATAAATCGCATTGCGATTCTATCAATCGCATTGCAATTTTCTTCTAAATCGCGTTGCGAACTTGGAAGCTCGCGTTGCGATTTTCTTTTGACCGTTGCGATTTTCTTTTTAACGTTGTGATTTTCTAAATCGCGTTGCGATTTTGATATCGCGTTGCGATTTTATTGGTCATTTTGGCAAATCCAAAAAAAATTGGTTAAAATCGTATATTATAAGGTATTTTTTGTCACTGAGGCGATTTTCTCATTTTATAATTATTTTTATTTTTAAAAAAAATATTATAAAAATATACAAAAATAAAGTCGGGACAACTAAAAAAATTCATTTCCTTCCATTTTAATATTTAATCGAATATGTTTCAAATATATTTATATTTGTCAAATGTTTTATTCTATCTAAAATACTCTAATCTTTTATATTTTTTAAAAATAAATATAAAATGTAATTCTTATTAACTGTCCATCTTTTAAATTTAAGTAAATTAGTCCTTGAAGTTTGATTATTTCTTTTTTACCTCACTTCAAAACATCATAAGTCGACACTAATTTTTCATATTTGAATCTTAATATTTATTTTAAAAATATAATTACCTCCACTTAATAAAAAAAATTCCTATTTGCTTCAAAATTAACTAAGATTCAATGGTTACGAAAATACAAGGAAATTGACCCCCATTATGTTCACAAAGTTCAGTTTTGAAGCACATAGCACTACAACATATATGGAAGTTTCTTACAACTCCCAACATCTTTTATTCACCCTATTAAACACTGTATGGTAAACAACGGTGGTCAAGCTACCATCACACAACAGTTGAGGAGAAAGAAGTTTAGACGGTCCTTGTATCCCTCGACGCACCTCCATCGCAATTCCTCCCTCTCGGCTTCCGGTCTGCAAGTGTATATCGTCATCCCATTGCATTTGCCGTTGTCGTTGCCATTTGCGATGGCCGATGAGTATCCAATCACCAACAGTTTGTTGCCAAGCGACTTAAAAGCCACTCCCCATCCTTTATGAAGATCGGTCCTAACTGGTACCGCTCCAAGTTTCTTCCATGTGTTGGTCTTCTTAAGGTACACCTTGAGTTCATTGGAAGATGTTTCGAGACAGTAAAGCTCGTTGTTCACTACAGCGAGAAGGGGCGGCGATTGCCGTTTCGCGACCGGATTATCGTTGTCTTTCAGCATGTCCGGTATCAGTTCCCATGTGTTCTTATCCTTGTTATAAGCCTCCCCACAAGTGAGTTCCATGTCTTTTTCATCTTTCCCTCCTATTACATAAAACTTGTCATCCATGAAACAACCTGAGCAAAGCTTCCTTTTCTTATGCATACATGGGAGACTCTCCCATGACTTAGTCTCAGGATTATATTTCTCGGCTGAATTCAACACCTCGGCCCCTAGTAACCCCATCTCGATTCCACCGGCTACGAATCCGAAGGTACCACAAGTGGCAGACGCAAACAAACATCGAGGATCGGTCATTAAAGGCCCTTTAAACCATTTACTAGTTTCGAGTTCAAACCTCCACACAACATTGCCTTCAGTGAACTCTCTTCCCGACACAATCAAATGGCTCCCGGCACAAAGTGACTCTTTATCACCACCGATAAAGCACACATCTCTCGACGGTAACTCCGGAAGCTGCCTGCAACACTTGAATAGCCTATCAAATGCCCACCAACAGTTCCCCCCACTAGCTGACATGAATATAGATGATTCTTTAAACCCAATTTGCCTCCTAATCTTAAACAACTCACCACTCTTTACAAGACGTGAGAAATGCTTGTTTAAGAAGTTAAGTTTCCAATATTCCGATCGAGGAAATCGAGCCAATATCGATTTCTCTATGTCACCACTGAGCTGGGGAACATAAGGGTAATCTGCATCCTGAGGTTCTTCTACACCTGAGGAATCACTACGATTCCGATTCGGTTCTTTAGCTTCTCGAATCTGAATCTTTCGGCATGGGGGAATAAGAAAGCTATCCGCAGCCATGTTGTTTCGACAGAAAACAGGTAAAGGATTACATAAAAAGGAAAAAAAACACCCTACAAAACAAAACCAGATTGTTTCAGAAGCTGATTAACAATCTAGTTTATGCTCTTGAAGTTATGAAGAACCTATTATATGAGAAATCCAAGCTATTTCACATCAGCAGTTGATCAAACATTCAAAGGATAATGAAACTCACATGCAGGCTTTGGAATGCAAAGATTTAATCTTTCAACACTAATCCTACGTAGAAATCTAAACTGAATAAAGCAAAATAAACCAGGAAAAAAAGATCTATAACATGAAAGTTGATCTAAGATTGAAAAGTTAAGCAGATAATAAATTGCCATTCATGAACATAGATACGAAAACAGCCAAAGGGGTATCCCGAAATCATCAAAACAGGGCTGGAAAAACAACAAAATACAAAGATAAATAGCAGAGATTGAAGGAGAAGCTTACCAGGAAAGGGGAAAGAGCTTTTATTACAGACTTGCAGTCTGTAGAGCTTAAACACTAACACTTGAAGTAAAGGAAGAGAGAAGAGACGATATATAGGAAGCCATAATAAAATACAAATAAAGAACTGGGAATTAAAGAAATTAATTTACAATTGCAAGCGCCCCCATTTGCTGGAGATTTTTATATTTTATTTAGTATGGCTCATATTGTTGGAATTACAAAACGATTCATTTGGTTTTGTTATTTATTATTCTTATTTAGTGAATCGCTTAGTCTCTTTCTTTTTCTTCAACCTTTCTCTTACTTAACATTGTTACATATGAACAAGTATAGTTCACATAATTTTCTATTTTTCACATTTATTTTACATTTATAATTATCATTTTAATAATAAAAACATTGTTAAACGTATAATTTAATCTAATTTTCAACATTAACCACCTATATTTGGGTTCATATATCTTTCATAAAAGTTGTAATGGATTATAATAGTTTTCAATAGGCTATAGGGGAAAGCATTAAATAAGTAGACGGTCTGGTTGGAATAAAGAAATTTAAAAGCCTATAGAAGCTATATCATATTATAGACCACTAAATTAATCACCAGGTTTATTAAATTAACAAGTTTTAATCAATTCAATTCTCTAAAATTAGTATTATTTATTTATTTTTCATGGTTCTTAATTTTCAGAGAATAAAAGATTATAAAAAAAGGCAAGCACTCATTTTGATTAATTCAACTGTTCATTGATTACTTAATTAATGAATAATTGATTTTTTAAATATACTAACATGACATTAAATAATTTTATACAAATTCAAATTTTAAAAATAATATTATAAATATATTTTTCTTAATTAGAATTTATGATTCTAATTTTGTTTATTTTGATGTGAAAAGTTAATGATACAATTCATTTAGTAGAGAAATAAACGAGAGAAAAATAAGAATATGTAATGGATGTGAAAACTCTCAGATCGATAGGTCTAAGTTTTATGATACAATTTTATTCAAACATAATTATTGTGTATGTACAACTATATATAAGTATCCAGAAATTTAAAATAGGATGTATTCTCTTATAATTAGTCAGTAATGTATGTCTGACTATAATAAAAAAAATCTATCATGATTATTTTTTTATAAAGTTTTCTAGTAAATGTATATATATATTTTTTATTTTGCAAATTATAATAATTATTATTTGTAACTGTTTTATAAATAATTTTAATTAAGTCTAAACGTTTCTCTTCTATAGATATATAAAAAAATAAATGGGGTGGCCAATAATCAAACAATATTAGTGTAAACAGTATGGCATGAGCATGTGGCATATGTTAACACCTGTCTTAATCAGATTGTACTAATCAAAGAATAGTTAAGTTAATCAACAATTCCAAGCCCTAGATTAATGTGTTAATTAATGAGAAAAGCAATGGGAGAAAAAGTTGGGTGCCACGCCCTCAAACCTAGAAAACCCAACTGCATTGGATAACCCTGCCCTTTCTAACTCTTGTTTTTAATATTTTAATGTTTTAGGTGTCCACTGATTAGTGGATTTGCCTTTGATTTTTTAATAAAATACAAAGCTTCGCTGTCATAATCTCATAGGCTTAGCATTTTGTGGATGATAAACTAATACACAAAATGTAATTAAGCGAATAGGATGGGGTAAATGACAAAGGAAATCGAATCAGCTTTGAGTGCATAATTTAGAAATCGCATGCTAATTAAACCTTGAAATTAATGTTAACATAAAAACTCAATTAAATATTCATTCTCCACTAATCTTTATCACAATTGGGTGACAGATGTTTGCACCTCAAGGTTCATCGGGCTGAGACATCCATTTTGTTAACCACTACTTTAAAAACAAGTGTAAGTACAAAATGTGAGAGCAACGAGAATTGCGAAAAGTTTAAGACTCGGGGTTATTACAAGTTTTCACGACAATTTACATATTGTTTCGAAATTATCTATTTTTATTATAGACAACTTAATCACAGTGATTAGGAATGCTAAAATCTCAAAAGAGATATGAAAAATCATTTGATTCTAAGAAAAAGAAGGATAACTCGATCGTTGTAACCACAAAGGAAGTTAAAACGTAAATCTTTTTGTATGGAGAAGAAAATTATTTCAACATCACCTACGATATTTGTTCATGGATTGCTAACTCGTAAGTTTTATTTCATATAAAGAGTATTCCTATATTGATGCGATGAATATGGGGAATAAAGTAACAAGCAAGATAATAAATATTGGCAATATCATCTTAGAAATCAATATTAACTTATAAATCGTGTTGAAGGATGTTAGACATGTGTAAAATGTGTCTTAATCTTATTTTAGTTGAAAATTTTAATAATATTGATTATATGAATCATTTTGATAAAGAAAAAAAAATGAAAACTCACCGAAAAAAAACTTGATCATTGTTAGAGGAAGCAAACAAAGCTCCTTATACGTTACACGACAAAAATTACGCAAGGGAGAAGAGACAAACGTAAATATAACTGGAAATGTTGACTTGAGAAAGTCAACAACATGTTATGCGACTATTTCTTCAAGGGGTGATGTCTTTTGGTGGTCAAAGCTTAAAAATGCATGGCATCATTGATCATTGAAGTAGATTACTGTACAATGACTGAAGCATGTAAGAGTTATTATACATGAATTTTTTTTAATCTAAATTGGTCACAGACAGAAAAAAATGTGTTTTTGGGTTGTAATAATCAAAGCACTATTCATTTAGTTAAGCATATCACTTTAGAGCAAAATACATTAATATTTGTTATCATTAGATATGAGATATGTTAGAAGAAAATTTGTTATTATATTAGATGCGTATGTTAAATATATCTACAAGATAACCAACACGTGTTACCAGTTCATAATTTATCATTTGCAAAACTATCTAAAAAAATAATTAGAAAATGAGACATTTTAAATTATATAAACTAAGACATCTTTTTAAAGTTTGTGGATTTATATTTATGGCTTTTTATATTATATTATATTATATTATATTATATTATATTATATTATATTATATATCAATAGATATAACTATTACGAAGTTCATTATCTTGTAATAAAATGATCTAATAAAATTATTGATTGAATGTATATTTTTAATAGCTAAACTATGAGAATAAATTTTTTAATATCTATATGGTATTTTATCCGACATTTTTAGGCATCAAGTCAATAAATTATAATTAACAAACTTCCTGGTTCCTATAATAATTGATTGTTGGTCAATAATCAAATATTTAAAAATAAATTAAATTTTTAAAAATAAATTATGGATTTATACATATATTTAAAAAAAATAAAACTACTTTTTATTTTTTAATACTATTACTTAGAAACATTGAAAAGTGTCAACATGAGAGGGTAGTTATAATTAAATAAAATATATGAATTATTAAATTAATATATCATGTCACTTCTGACACTAAAGCAGCTATTTTTTTTAATATTTAATAAATTTAATGATAAAACTAATATAAAGACCAAAATTTAAAGATTACTGGTGGACATTATCCTTTATTAATTTGATTCGCTGAGACCAACAACTTTTTAGGAGGCTAGTGGGATGCTTTCAGAAAGCTTGGAAAATATAAAACAAATGAGATGCATTTTTTCCCCCTTAAGAAATCAAGAAAAATGCATGTATTCGCAGGTAATGGACATCACACAGATTTGAGTGCACAAATTAGAATATTCATTTAAAATGCCACACCCTTTTCATTTGCTTTTATGTTATGCTTAACTCGTCCCCTCTCTTCGGCCAATAGGTAGGAGAAATACCGAATCATAAACGTAACATAAATTACTTGTATATTAAATGATATTAACCATACATTTTTTTTTATATTTTTAAAGGGATGAATCTATTTATATTAATATAAAATTAAGTGAATTTGTACACTTTTTAAATTTTTGTATGATTAATATTTTAGTAAACTAATCATTAAATTTAACAATATAATTTTATTCATGTTAGTTTTTGAGCTAATTTTATACCTTTATCACATTGTTAATCTAGAGTATATTCAACTATTGACTTTTTTACATAAAATAAATGCATAATTTATTTAGATTATTTTTTCGATTTTCTTAATTTTATTGCTAAATCCTATTATCACATTGTAACTTGTGGTGATTAAAGGATATACTTAGCCGACTAGTTTTAGATGTTTAATAATGTGAAAGTAATTATGTTGGAAAAAGTTAGAAATTGTTATTATAGAAAATATGCTAGAGGTTTAAAATATAACTTTATTATTATAATAGTTTATAACTTTATAATAATAATAATAATAATATACAATTCTATTACTTTTGAAAGGGCCAATGCCCTAGCTACAAACAAAAACATGGCTGCTGGACAAAAATCAGGAAGAAAGGCAAAACATTAACTAGAAATTCAGCTAAACATGTATCGATAGATCATACCCCACCCAATTACAAACCTTCAATAATATAGTGTTTACAACTTACTATATAAGCTGAGAATGGATCCAAATGCATAAAAAAGAAAAGGTTTCTTCATTCATCTTTCATCCATTACAGTTGTTCTTCTCTTTCCCTTTCAGAATCAATCCCCAACGTTTAAGCAAGGTTCGAACGAGGTGGGTGTACGATATAATAAAGTAGGCTAATTCAATCAGTTTTTAAATTCGTATTTGATCTAAAATTCAAAATTAAATTAAAAATTAACCCTTTTTATTAATATTTCATGTTATCAAATTAACGATATTTAATGTCCTAGGAATCATAACATTGTAAACTGATGATAAAGATCGAAATATTATAGATCAATAATATAAGTGGTCAAAATATTTTTTTTATAAATTAGATAACAAAAAATAAAGAGCTATGAAAAAGTAACCATTTAGATAGTTTGCCCTTTTAGGGTATTGAGGGATTGAAGAACAAGTGGCATGGCAATGGCGGTGCATGCGGCAAACACGTTACAAGCTGGTCAGTGTCGACATCAAAGATGTACTTTATTTGTAGCAAATAACGATTGTCAAACTGTTTCAGACAATAAGTTGTAAGAATAATCCAAATGTTTGACA